AGTAAATCTTTTTAAGTATGTGGGCTATTTTTTTTTTTTAAGAGAGCGCAGATGACTTTTTCCATTGGCATTTTACTTTGTTCTGTAATAGAATTCTAATGTTTCTCTAAATTTCACAAATATAGGCCACGGTTCTTAATAGGAAGTTTTCTTAGTAGCATGGCAATAAAACATCTCTAACTTAAACCAATAGCTTTATATCTGTGCACACTTATGAGCAAGGAGAAGATGTATGGCTCAGAATTTTTTTCTTTTTTGTGCAAACTATCTTCCTTCAAAAATCAGAAAACAAGGGAACCAGCAGTTAGCATAATGGCTGTCGCTGGACTCCCATGTAGTCGACCACGGTTCGTGTCCCGGACCCGGTGGCTTAAAACTCACGCCGGGTGTGTGTGTGCATGCCCAAGATCCCGAGAGGAGAATGGAGGAGAAGGGATTGCGGCGTGACCATCCCCCCTGGGGGGTGATTTCTCGCTTTCTGTCTCTATGTCTCTGTCTGTCTGGCGAGCGCACGTGCCCTACAGTGAAAATCTCTCCAAAAAAAAAAAAAAAATCAGAAAACAAACTGAGCAGATATTCATGACCTGACTATAAAGTCAGTATAGGCAGCTCCCACACAAAAGTGGAGCTATAATTGATAAAGACAGCAGAACAGAGAGGCTAGGAGCAGAGACTTGGAAAGTGATCATGATAGGTGTGGTTCTCTGCTTTACCACATAGCCATAACATAACCTTGGACAAGTTACATGACCCTCCCCACCCCAGACTCAGTTCCTCAACTCTGAATGACCACATGAATAAGCATCTCAGTGTAAAGTTCAGACAACAATGACATGAATAAAAGTTCTCCACACAGACTTTGACATGTAATAAGTACTCAGTAAAGAGTAGCTGTTATAAAAAATAGAGATACCATATTATAAAGTGATCGTGCTATGCCATCGTCATAAAACATACAAACGGCACCTTTTTTTTTTTTTTTTTTTTTTTGGAGAGGTTTTACTATAGGGCACGCGCACTCACCAAAAAGACAGAGAGACAGAAAGGAAGAAAACGCCCCCTCCCCAGAGGGGATGGCCACACCACAATCCCTTCTCCTCCATTCTCCTCTCAGGATCTTGAACGCTCACGCACATGCACCTGGCGTGGGTTTAAGCCACCAGGTCTGGGACTCGAACCACAGTCAACTACATGGGAGTCAAACTACGGTCGACTACATGGGAGTCCAGTGACATAGCCATTATGCCAGCTGCTGGTCCCCAAACAGCACCTTTTCTAAGAGCTCAGGAGATGATCCCAGTATGTATGTTACAAGAGCCTTGCTCAATACCACCTCTGTTGTGGTCTACAGAGTGCATTACCAGGTTCAAGAGTGAACCACGGAGTACTGGAAAGCAATGTTTATGGGAAGACTGAAAAAACAGAAATGATTAACACCCTGGGTTGAAAGCAGTTACCTGCAGAGAATAGCAACTAACTATGCTGTGTCTCCTCTGATGCCAAAGAAGCAAAGTGAAATGTACCAGCTGGATTGGCAGCCTGAGAAAATTAACTTAAATACATAGTGGATCTCAGAGCTGTATCTTAAAAGCAGAATAATTCCTAGAACTAAAAGGTAGACAAGGGTTCTTACCAGGATGAACAACTAAAATCAGGAGGTCACTGATATTATCTTCAAACCCCATAAAGAGGTCAGGAATTGAATTATTATGTGAAGAGCTTTCCCTATGGAAAAAATATTTATGGATAATAAAGTAATGGCTCTTGGGACCAGCAGACAGCATAATCATTATGTCGCTGGGCTCCCATGTAATAGATCATGGTCTGAGTCCTGGACCCAGCGCATGTACATGCATGCCCAAAATCCTGAGAAGAGAATGGAGGAGAAAGGATTGAGAAATGGCCATACCCACAGGGGGTGATTTCTTACCTTCTGTGTCTCTGGCAAGTGCACACACCTGTAGCAAAAATCTCTCAAAAAAAATAAATAAATAAAAATAAATAAAATAATGGCTATTAATATTATCTCCAATAGCATATATTAAATTTCTCCCTTTGTAGGAAACTATATGGGGCATTACACAAGTGAGTTAAGTGAATGAAGCGAGTACAAATTTCATTATGCAAAAATGATTTATAATCTGTGAAGACCCTCATAAATATTGTAAGTAATGTTAACATTAGTAAGAGTAAAAAACTGGCCCTCACCTCTTGGGAACAGCAACTTAAAGGCCTGTTTCAGAAACAGGAAAAGAAGTCTTCTCATCATAGACATGAGAAGGCCTTCTCAGGGAAGTGAGGCCTGGGGGAGCAACAGCCGGAGTACTTTTGGTCCGGTGCACCATCGGGACACGGTCCCATCTGGCGCTCAGCAGGAGAAGATCTGCCCCTTTCCACAACTACAAAATGGCTTATTCAGTTTTGCCTTGGGGCACTGTCATAGCCACTTAGAACCCAGGAAAATTAAGCATACCAACGACTGGGTTCCACAATGAGGACGGTGAATCTGACTTAACTTGCTACAGCCATATTCATGGGTCTGCCGTGCGGCGAAGGCAGCATTCAGGCCAATGCGATCTTATTAAATGCTGAATGTTTACTTCCCTGTTCACTCCTTTCCAAGGCTTTTACTTCAGGAGCAAAGCTGGCATGAACTGCTCATTCCCCAGGGAGGAGTGAATGCCAGGTCAGCCGGAACAAAAGCATGGCAGCTGTCACATTTAGGCATTGATACATCATCACACACATTATTTCTCAAGTGCATCATCTACATCAAACCGAAGAGCTTATTAACACATACCTAGCTGACTCCTCAGAGGAGCATGAAATCAAGGGCATGGACCAAAGACATGTTCTCTGTCGAGTGTGCTGCAACCTTACTCTGTATCCTTGTCCCATGGCAGTGAGAAACTGTCCTGTGTCTCTTCACCCTGCCACCTCCAATCTGTTTTTACCTTCTTGCTCCCATGATGCCCTGCGGTTATGCTTGTCTTCAACAATATCATAATTGTGTTTGTCTATCTTCCTCTGTTTAGGAATCAGTAGATTAGGTTATTGTTCATTTGTCTCCCACCTTAATTTCCCTTGAGACTAGGCTGGATTGAAATAATCTCTCAATGATTAAGCAACCCTTCTATATAACTCTGGAGACATCAATGATTGATGGAGTGATAGAAAGGGGCAGAAAGTCCCATGCAAAATTCCTTTATGGAGCATTCTACCAGAATAAAAATATACAAAATAGAGATTCTTTTAAATAAAGCACCTCTATCCTGGCTCACTATTTGCCTAAATTACTTGCTTATAGTCTATTCAAAAATATTTTAGTCCTAGCACTTATGTTTCCATTCTATGTCCATTTTAATTCAATCTTTCTTTAGTAGATCCTTGAACTGCCATATGGTTATTAAAATGCAGCAGTTGGGGTGAGCAAGTGGGGTTGAGGTTAAGGTTCTGGACTCCCACTTGATCGACCGTGGTTCAAGTCCAAGACCTTGCAACTTAAACTAACATCGGGCACATGTGTGTGCATGCCCAAAATCCTAAGAGGAGAATAGAATAGAAGGGATTGTAGATTGTATAAGCCATCCCCCCTGGAGGGGGGGAGGGGGTGCTTCTCACTTGCTGTCTCTCTGGCAAATAAAACACAGCGGTCCAGGGTTCTCATTGCCATAGACATGCTTCACCATTTGGCAGAAGTTGAGTAGCACAAACAGCAGAATGCTCTTTTGGCCTGAAATATATACAGAACTATGGGGCTTGCCCTGTTTTCTATAATTCTCTGGAAGCACTTTCTGTGTTTCTCAACTCTACATGTTTCCAGATATTACATGGAAAACAAAGAGCAGCCCTTGAGGCAGATAAAGAAGTTGAGAAGTCAAAGCCTTTTGCAAAATCAGGACCTAAAAGCAGTCTAGCTCTCTCAGATGATGGGCCCAAACCCCGTCTCCCTTCTCTCTCTGGCCACTCCTGACAGATTTCCCTTGAATCTGTGTCCCACATTGAAGAGAGGTCAAGGTACATAGAACTAAGTCAGAGGAAGAGTGGCCAGCAAAGTTCAGATTCAGAAATCATATCTAATGATGGACTAGGTAAATGTCAAACAATTTATTCCAAAGAAATGCAAGCCTCAAGGGACACATGAGCACTTTAAAAACCCTAGAGCCTGCTATGGAGGAAAGCTAGCCCTACTCTAGAAAATGGCAGGAGACAGAACTGGCCAGTGACTGTGATCCTAAAAAGACAGATTCTTCTTCAGCCTAATGTGGGACCAAGATACTGCCCTCTGAGCTAATGAGCTCCCTGGCAGGGAGTTCTTATTGCTGAAATTATTCCAGTCAACAGGCATCCTGCCTGAAGACCAGGAAGCTACTGCTAAGACTGCACTATGCTTCCTGCGGGATTCACCTTTGTCATATAGTTTAGTTTTTCAGGCTTTGGGATATCCTTTCTGTATTCTAATACCAAACACTCATTTTCCCAGGGAGATGAATAAGCGTCTAACAGAGGAACAAGCTAAGAAAACTTATGACCGAGCGATAAAGCTAGAACAAGAATTCGGAGAGTATTTCACAGGTAAGTTCACCATCCAGTACTGTGAGAAGGAGATGAATGGTCTGACAGTTACCCTAGAGAGGACTCTGGGCCTGGTATTCCTGGGCCCTAAAGCTTTCCTGTTGAGACTCTCTAATATTTGTCTGGTCCTTGCCATTTGATTCAGAACTCTGGGCACTACCACCCCCTTTCTCTGGGTTCACCTGGAACCAGCTCCCAGGTTTTCATTGGCCTTATCTAAAACCACAAATGGCAGAGGGCCCAGAGCTGTCCCCTGGCATTACTGTTCCTTGGAAACATGAAGGATGGGGAGTTTTCTCCTGGGTATTCTGAGTTATCTATATTTATATCCTTTTATGTAAACTGATTAAACTTTAATGAACCCTCATAAAATCCAGAGAGTAAACTAAACTTCATGGGATTTGCCTTACGATTTTTTTAATTTTTATTTATTTATCTATCTATTTGTTGTGATTTTTTGGGCTGCTGGATCCTTCAATGGCAGTTGGCCATGTGGAGTCCTCAACCACCTCACCACCTGCAGGCCCCACAAATGGTTCTTGATGGTCTAAAAACTAGAACTCTCATCATGAAATTAAATGGTTTTAGGTTTTTAGAGGTTTTTTTGTTTTCTTTCACCAAAGGGCATACAAGAGAGAGAGACACAGAGACAGAAAGAAAGTGACTGTTTTTTAAGCCACTGGATCCAGGACTTGAACTATGTAGTTGACTATGTGGAATCCAGTTGCTCTAACCAGCAAGCCACTGGCTTATCCTGGATGTTTTGTTTTTTATCTTATTTAGAATATGGAAGGTGTCAGTGGCTTAGCAACTTGCAAATATTTTGAATTGGGTAATATTACACAAAGTTTCTATCCACAACTAAAATATAATCTTAAAACAACATTCATGTAAGAAAATCAAATCAAAACAATGTACATTTTGGGGGACCAGCAGTTAGCGTAATGGCTATGTCGCTGGACTCCCACGTGGTTGACCGTGGTTCGCATCCCAGACCCGGTGGCTTGAAACTCACGCCGGGCGCGTGTGCGTGCGTGCCCAGGATCCCGAGAGGAGAGTGGGGGAGAAGGGACTGCAGCATGACCATCCCCCCAGGGGGTGATTTCTCGCTTTCTATCTCTCTGTCTCTCTGTCTTTCTGGTGAGCACACACGCCCTATAGCGAAAACCTCTAATAAAAAAAATAAAAAAATAAAACAGTGTACATTTTGACCATTTGTTTATACTCTTAAATAAAATATAACAATGAATATTTTCTGAGGGCTATCTTTGAGTATCTAAACCATATTTCATTTCCATAGCAATTACTTTTTAAGCCTCAGTGTCCCCTGAATATGAATGACTACAGACAGGCATGTAGAAAATGCAAAGATTGGGGCCAGCAGGTGGCATGATGGTTAAGTCATTAGACTCCCACACAGGGTGATGGTGGTTCAAGTCCCAGATCCAGCAGCTTGAAACTCAAGCTGGGTGTTTGTGCATGAATACCCAAAAATCTCAAAAGGAGAATGGAGGAGAAGAGACTGAGGTGTGGCTATCCCCTCTGGGGGATGATTTCTCAGTCTCTCCAGCGAGCGCACACATGCTATAGCAGAAAGGAAGGAAAGAAGGAAAGGCAAAGACTGTAATACATTTATTGCTGATCCAGGGCATACATTAAAATCATTTTTAAATTACTGATGTTGTGATTATTTAACTTAATGCTTATGTAAATGTGTTGATATTTCTTACCATAAAAAGTGGTATTATGTTTCCTAGATGAGTTGTCTATTATTGATCTGAGCTTCTGCCATGTTGAATTTCTACTGTGCTGATAGGCTTGCTCTTCGTATCCACATACCTAACATCAGGTGTGTTTGTTTTTGTCACAGCTATTGTCCAAGGAGATACCTTAGAAGATATATATAACCAATGCAAGCTTGTTATTGAAGAGCAATCTGGGCCTTTCATCTGGATTCCCTCAAAGGAAAAGTTATAAATTAGCTACTGCGCCTCTGACAACGACAGAAGAGCATTTAGAAGAACAAAATATATATAATATACTACTTGGAGGCTTTTATGTTTTTGTTGCATTTATGTTTTTGCAGTCAATGTGAATTCTTATGAATGTACAACACAAACTCTGTGAAGCCATGAAGGAAACGGAGGGGCCAAAGGGTGGGACGGAAAAGACATTGCAGTATGCAGGAAGGCTTTGGTTTGCTCAAAGTACCAGGTGTAGGGATGAACCTCTGATTGGGCTTTCTGCCCAAGAGATGGCAGCCTCCTCACCCCAGCAGATGTCCAGAGCTGATTTAGCTGCTGAGCTCTCTGTGTTTTTTGCTTTAAAGAAAATTTGCCAGCACTCGAACCTCACCAACCTTCCCATTTCCCACATCTGTAATTGGTACACTTCGAATTTTATAACTATGCACATCCTTTGATTTCTTAACAAGCAAATGAAAGAAAGAAGGAAAAAAAGAAAGGAGTCCCTTTGGAGACGACATACTATCAGGGAAGGATAAGTATGTAGTTTCTTTGACTGGCATCTGCAAAGACAAGCATTTCATAAAATTCGCAAGTGTACAGAGGACTAACCTTACTGAGAGGAGGGGATTCCACCTGGGATTAGCTTTATGATTGTTGAGTATCTATTTTGCCATTTATAAACTGAAAGAAGGCACTAAAGATGAGAATAATTTATACAATAAAAATATATTAAATGTATAGAAATGAATTTCTATAGGTTAAAAAGTTTTGTGAAATATTTTGTAAAGACTAATTGAAAGACTAAATGTATGCACTATCAGCAGATGATCAAATTCAAGAACTGAAAGTTGCACTCCCCCTTTTGTTGCCAACAATCCATTAAGAGCATCTGAGTTCCTTCCAAGTCTGACAAAGACTTCTCCCTCACTTACCTCCTGTGATCTCCCTTCTACACTAGTGATGCACTCTCATGGAACACATCCCTAAATAAGTTGCCCTCATGAATATTTTTGGAAGATATTTGATTAAACCACTTTTAAGCGGATGGCTTTTCAGAGACAACCTGAAGCAAATGATATGAAAGAAGTTTTTGCTTTTCTCTAAGTAATCTGGGCCTGCCATGCTAATAGTTCAATAACTTGGTTCCTAGTTACTACATATAATCTTTAAAGGACCATTTAGTATTTTGAACAACCATGAGTAATTAGGATTATTATTTTGTTTGTTTCACAGAATAACAGAGTTTTGTAACAACCAGAGATAATAACAGAGCCATGGGAGATCTGTCCCAAGATGCACTACTTTGAGGAACAGAGGGAAGAGAAGTATCTGGTTGGGGGGGTGAGGGATGCACACTTTTTGGAGTTTTTTGTACAGGGCAAAGAGATAGAACCATAAGCAAAAATAATTAACAACTTTGAGCGCAACCAATTGAACTGCCTTTCTTGGGGCTGCACCTGGACCAAGTTTATTTTTTAACAATTATAATAATAATGTTTTAAAAAATAAAAAAAGAAAGAAAGAAACCTCCTCCCAAAGCCTATAAACTGAACCAGAAGAATTAGTTTCCCACTTTCGAGCTGATGACATCATCGGCATTGCTTTTGCCCAAGGTGTTTAGAGAGAGACTTTTCAATGATCTCAATAACCACTCAACTCTGGGTTCTTTGCATGCCCAGACCAAGCCCCATCGCCTTATTTCTTGGGGTACATCCAGACCTGGCAGGGATTCTGCCACACTGTGCAGCAAACCAGCATGTAGGCTGGACTAGGAGAGCAAGAGATAGAGCCATCAGAGTGATGGGGCTTTTTCTCAGTAAGAACATCGGAGCTCAGAATGAGAGTCTCTTTCCAAAAACAAGGGTGTTCATCTTATACTAAATACTCTTGTCTGCCTGATTGCAGTCACCAAAACAAACACAAAAATGCAAAATTATGCATCTACCTTTAGTCTTGAGGCTACCTTTGCCAATGGAAGGGCTAGTGATGCATTTTCCCTCTTATGAAAGTTAAATTTCCAGAGACCACCTTAGAGTGCTCAAAATGTTAGAGATATGTCGATGTCTGCAATTTGCCAGTTTCATCAATATTGCTCCCAGAAGTTTTCTGCCACCAGAATGCCATTTCTGATCCCAGCTCTATTTTTAGGCCACCATGATAACTTCTTTGGTTTCTCAACTGAGCATGCAACCATTTATTTAAAGGACTGTCATTAATGAGTAGATGTTTTTGCGGGTCATGTGATGTGCTTTTCATTTAATAGTTTTGCTGTGGCTGAGTACAATCAAATTGAACCACCAACCTTTGGTTTTGTAGTAATATAATTATTTATTTTCCTAGTGTAGATGCTTCCAGACTAGAATTGGCATTTGCACTGATTTTTTTATGTAGATTTATATAAATATATATATACATATATATTTGCTTGAAGAATCACCAAGCAAATTGGTGAGAGGGTTTTTTTTTTCCCCTATAGAATTTACAACTCCATTTGTTGTGTTGTCTAGCGCTTCCCAATGTTGAGGTCTCTAAGGCTCCGATGAACTGGTGTATTTTGCAGCAAAACTGATGACTTGTATGAAAATGGCATGAAAGTTACCCAGATTACATCTGGTGCAAATGTACTTGGAGCCTGGGGCCAGACTGGTGCTAACACTGCAAACTTTGTTCGGAGCTCTCTCCAATCTGATGGCTTGCTGGGGGCACAATGTCACCTTCACACGCTGGGCCCTTTCAGAAAAGTGCCAGATCGTGTCACTGGTGCTATTTTTCATGCTCTGGTACAATGTGTAGCACCATGGGGGTCTCAGCTTTACCAAAATCAAAATCCCATTTGTCAGCTAATGGCAGGGGCATTGTTTTCTGCTCTCCTCACACAGGATTTGCTGGCCATTTATTTGCAGGTCTTTTCTCTCAGCCCCAAATTCTTGGGTTGGCTCTGTCTGCTCAGTGAGCCCTTCTCTTTGAAGCCACACTCAGGTGCCCCTGTGAGCTGTCTTAGATCCTACTGCCAGCCCTTCAGGACTCTAAAAGTCAGGGAATACTCCATATATCTGGCTCTTACCTCTGTTGTTTTCTCTTTTTTTTTTTTCCCTTTGCTCTCCTATTTCAATCTCTATTTCAATCCCATGCCTCTTTCCCCCCAACACACACCTTTATATTTTCCTTCCTGAGTTGTAGACTTTCTCTTATAATCCTTCTTTACTCCCTCTCTGTCCATCTCTCCTTTAGTCTCATTTTCTATCCTTTTTATTCTTCTCTCCTTCCTTTCCTGTCTTTTCTCTTCTACTCTGATCATCTCCTCCCAAACATTGCACTCCCTGATTTTTATTTTATTTTATTTTATTCTTTTTGTCCTATAAAGGGCTCATGGCTGATTCAGACAGCAAGTCCATACACTGGACTAATGACACAAACTCTCTGGGTCGCCATTTCACCCACTCAGCCCAGAAAGCAAAGCTGAGTGTGAGGCCAGCTCCAGCTCGCCTCCCAGAGAGCCAGCCTGCACCACTGCCTGGACAGTGATGATGCACGTGCTGCGGGCCCTGCCGGCACCTGGGTGCCTCTGCCTGAACGCTGATCCTCTGGGAGCTCACTCCCAACACCACCCCGTGGCTCTGAGGACGCTTCCTTTCAATAAAGGCAGACTCTGGCCCCACAGATTGTTCTCACAGCAAATCTGTTCCTGCTCATTGAAGCCATGCCATCGCCTTGGTTTGGAGAGAGACATTTTTTCCCATTCATAAGCTTTCTTTTTCCCATTTTCATGTGAAGCCCCCTCTGCTTTTCAGCTGGTGATTGCTCTGATGAGACCGAATGGACTCGCTGGTGAAATGACATCTCTTTTTGCTGTCTTGGTCCTGCCTAAATTCTTACAAAAATATTTAAGCCAAGGATTCAGACTAGTTTCTAAGTTTATCACATTAATTTGCCCCTCCTGGGTGGGAGGGATAAAAGGATCAATGCCCTTAAAGCATATGGAACTCCTCCTGTGACAACTGACTTGCCAGGAGACTCCTTAGAGAACTCTGTGGATAGACGTTTTACTTACACATGTGTATGGAATATATGGTATTCATACCATGTATGACATATTCTGTTGGCTATGAATGACTGTGGTTGGAAACCCACACATGCTCCAGTTTGTAAATATCCTTCCTCAATGAAACCTGTGCTTTGGAAATCATTTCTTGTACAGCTGTGCAGTTTCTTGTAGCAGCTGAGGACAAGCTAAGACAGACGGATAATTTAGACAAGGACCATCTAAAAGAGTACAGCATCTCCCTAGCAACTCATGAGGACAGACAACCAAGTGGCAAGGTTGACTCCCAATGGGATGGCAAACTTTTCTTCTCTCCTTTTTGAATTTGTGTTTCCTAAGTGTGTCTTAACTCCTGAGTGCACCAGGCTGTGCCCGTTAGATCCTTTCAATATGACAATTTTGTGCTTCTCTCTGACAGGATGTTCCTCCATTGAGCTGGAGTGCAGGATGGGAGGGAGGGGGAAGTGCTCCTTCCTGGGCTGGAGTTTACAGAGACACTGCACAGCTTACACTCCTGTTAAGTGTAAATATTCAACACCTCCATTCCATTTGTGTAAAAAATAAAGCACACACAGTTCTAAAATCCAGATGTATATTTCATACTCAGTGTGTCCGTGCATATTTATTGCGTTTCCAGTTGTCAGTGGTGGCCTCATTGTAAAAATACTTGATAGAGTGTTTATAAACATGTCGTGGTTTTATTATAAGATATAAATATTAAAACATTTTGTACTTTATAGCAAATTATTTTCTCCCAAAGCATAATTTGTCTTATTTCATAAAGAACAGAATCACTCATTTCTACTTTTATCAAACATGTCTGATTTCCAGAGCTAAAGTACAGTTAAGGCAGGTTTGCTCTGAGAAACATCAGCACTACTGAAAGTGGTGCTTTGACATATTTTTAAGCATTTGGCTAACATCTTGCCTGCTTTTAATCAGGGTTTTGCCAAAATCCTGGCAAAAGTACTACAAAATGGATTTGTAAAAGATGCTCTCATCTATATGGGAAACAAATCAATTGTAAGCATTTAGGAGATATAAATAGTAGACAAAAAACGTTTTTCCTTATCTAAAACACACAATGCACCAAAGGTCCAAATTGGGGAGGAGGTATCATCGTCTATATAGATGGGGGCAGGGGCCACAAAACATTTCTGCTCCAAAGATCTCAATGTATTATAGAAACAACAGGTTTGGGATTTGGATCTAACATAATATTCTAAATTCTTCACTTAAAAAGTTAAACATATGTCCTGTCCTACCAACATATAGACCACACCGCTCTCACAGCTGGAGGGCCAAAACAATTTCCTCCCATGAAAGGGGTGAGATTTTTGCATCAAAGCCATTGCTTTATGGTATGCTTTGTTTCATGATAAGCTATCATTATAATGGGATCAGCCATTCGAGAAGCCAAGCAAATTGGTCCTACCAACTAGTCATTGCTATGAACCAACAGACATCTCTAACCTGATGCTGTCCTGGTGTTTGGTGGTGAACAAAGATCCTCAGGCAGCATAAGGAGACATTGAGGCTGCAAATCTTGAATTTTGACAATTTTTTTTGAGGGATTGCTACAGGGTGCATGTACTCACTAGAGACAAAGAAGGAGAAAGTGAGAAAGCACCCTCCAAAGGGGATGGCCACTCTGCAATTTGGGGCACGTACACACATTCGCCCAGCCTGAGTTTTTAAGTTGCCAGGTCCAGGACTCGAACAACGGTCGACCCTGTGGGAGTCCAGTGCCTTAACCACTACGCCACCTGCTGACTCTGAATAGTACTCTTTTTTTAAAAGGTATACAACTCACCTGGTTTAACACTAGTGGTGACACTACACCAAAGCCAGATTCACTTTAATAATGGGTAGGTTTAATCAGAAGGAAAAAAAAAGCTAGAAAAGAATTTGACTTTCCTCTGTCCTATTTCAGTTCTGACTAACTACTTTTAAAGAATGATCATTCTGGAAGTCTAAAAATCTAAGAGTGGCCCGCACATCTCTGAACTTTAGAGGGCCTAGCTATGGAATCTACAGTCTCGGTAGATATTCCAAGAATAAATTTTCAGTGACAGAATCAAGAGTTGCTTCACTGAGGCACAAACAAAGAAAAGGAACACTCGTACAGCGTACCACCAGATTTTTTGTTTCTTTTGAGAGGCTTTTCTTTTTTCTTTTGCTATAGGGCATGTGCGCTTGCCAGAAAGAGAGAGACAGACAGACAGAAAGTGAGAAGTCACCCCCCAGGGGGCATGGCCAAACCACAATCCCTTCTCCATTCTCTTCTCAGGATCTTGAGCACACACGCACGCGCGCCCGGTTTGAGTTTTAGCCACTGGGTTCGGGACTCAAATTGCAATCAACTACATGGGAGTCCAGCAACATAGCCATTATGTCAACTGCTGGTCCCACCTCCAGATTTCTTAATGCAACCAGACCCAGAGTCTAAAGTTGTAAGGTACCATGTGTTCTGTGGATCAGAACTTCTGGGCCTCATAACTCCAATTTTTGTTCTCTGACTCACATTTTCCTAAGGGGCATCTCAGAAGGCATCATTTCTATCATCGAACTGAGGCTCTCCCCTTTCTAATGTCACAGTCAAATTGTCATGTCCAAACCTTTAATTCTCCCTAGCATAGTTGGGACAAAGCTAGACTACTTGGACAAACTTTGCTAAAAGCTAGGGAATAATAAAAGAGAAAGCAGAAGATATTCTGATTGTTGGTTTAGAGTTAGTGGCTATCTCCTGGCCAGCTGTCATATTGCCATAGGCCATCTTTTCCCACCACCAATCAGGGGTAGACCAGATGTCAGAAACTTTTTTTTTTCACATTATTTATTATTTGTTTTTTGTATATACTTTCAATCATATTGTTTGGCTTACCATGAGACCATTTCAATATGTGCACATTTCTCCCCAGACCTGTTGATCAAAATATCTGTAACAGATAACGCCACACTTCCCCATCCCGTCAATGCTCTACCTCTGTATCCCTTCTCCAAATGTCCTTCGTTAGGCCCCACTCCTCCACATACACTTCGTCTGACATTCACACCCATCTCTTGTGTTTGTGCAACCGTTAGTCAATCAGTTTCAGTCATAGAATGCTAAGTCATGGAACCAACCCAAATCCCTCCCCTACCCCCCATATGGAGGAATGGATTGAAAAACTGTGGCACATAAACTCTATGGAATACTACTCAGCTATAAAAACCAACAGAACCCTGGCTTTTGACAGAAAGTGGAAGAATATGGAAGATGTACTGCTGAGTGAGGCAAGCCAGGCTATGAAGGAGAGACATTGTATGTCCCCACTTAACATATACCGTATGTCTGCATTCTATGATGTCAGAATCTTTACTCTTGCAGTACATGTGAAAAATGTCATAGTTGTGCCTGTCTCAGCACCTGCTACATCAGCTACAGGTCAAGGTGTCTTCTTCCCTTTTGCTCTAAAATACAAATGGGAGTGACTCTTAAACTGTAAACATCAAAAGACAAATGACTTGCAATTTGTTTCAATGGCACTGACACATCAGGAAAACATCACTGATCTAAACTCATCAAAGCCAAAAGAGCTAAGTCCAAGAGAGACGTGCTCCTCCCATCCACCTGTCTAAGGCTGTCTCACGAATTCTGGTTCCCTGTCTTGTTCAGATGACTGACTCAAGTCACATCTGTTCTTCAAGGCTTCAGAAGGATGACCTGTGTGACTACTGTGCAGCAGAAAGCTACTGTCCATACAATGAGAATGACACACAGATCAGGCTTTTTCTAGCAAAACACAATGAACCCTACTTCCATCTGAAAAAAAGGGGGAGAAAGACAAAAGCCCTTTATTTTCAGGGGGTACATTAAAATGTTCAAATCCTACAGTTCCAGATAGCCAATTAAAATTAAGTTACAAAGGAGCCAAACTCCCTTGGAAAGAGCAATTGACTTCTATTCAACGAAGATATGATCCCCAATGAACTAAAAAATTGGATCTTAATTTGGTTTGATTTTCATGAGCTATACTTGTGTCTTTGACAGTCATAGTCACCTTCCTACAGAAATTGTTCATGCTATGGTGATCTTACATCTGACAGAACAATTCCTGGGGCATGCTCTCTTTCTTACGTGCTCCAAACCAGTTTCTTCTCGTAATATTACTTAACCTAACATACCTCAGCCACTAAGCCTGGTTTCCCTGCTGCAGTCCTTTTTTCTTAACAACTGGTGGTATGAAGGACAATTGGTGGCATGGTTGTAAGGCACTGGATTCCCACGAAAATAATAATAATTAATTAAATTAATTTTTTAAATGGTGGTGTGATTTTGACTACCCAAAATTCTTCAGAATATTGGGGCCAGCAAATGGCATATTGGTCAAAGTCATATTGGACTCCCAAATGACTAACCATGGTTTGAGTCCCAGACCTGGTGGCTTGCTTTCTCACTTTCCCTTTCTGTCTCTGTCTCTCTCGCTGTAGAAAAATTAAAACATAATGATCAATAAAATTACATAATTATTTTTAAAAGTTCAGAGTATAAAGTTCCAGAAAAGCATGTCATGTATTAACCTAGGGTCCACTAATACATTAAAGTTTGGAGTATTTAAGCCAACATTTCATGCAAAGGAAGGCCAGCAGTTGCTTATTAATACATTTCAAAAAAATCTGGCATTTTAAATTATTTATCTAGTTGTCATTCCTTACATGTTTAATCAACAAACAGTAAACACCTGCTTAAAACCAAGCTTAACTTAGATGTTGGAGTAAAAATAAATGAATAAATGCACAAATCACAGGCTAATCTTCTGACAGTCTTGTAGCAGAGAGATTTAAAAAAAAAAAAAATTCCCTAGAGGCCTAGGCACTGGTACATTGCCTAGCAAACTGAACCATGGTGTAGAAGCCACAAAGCCAGGGGCTGGATTTGGATTCCCAGGTCATTCTGAATGTATGCTGAGCATGAGGACATGCCCAGGATCCTAGGGAGATGAAGAGCTGGGGAGAGGGGATCATAGCATCAGAGACCTTGTCGAGGCTGCTTCTCTCTTCCCCACCCCCCTTTTTCTCTCTCTCCCTCGCACATGCACGTGTTATCTATAATAAATAAGATAAATTTTTAAAAATAATAATAAATGCTTAAATAAATAATAAAAATAAATAAAGCTCACTGGAATATAGAACCTCTAAATAGACCAGTGAGTGCACAAAGACTGAAAAAGTAACCTTGGCATCTCTGGGTCAGTTGTCCACCTGCTCATGACTTGCGCCTATTGCTCACATCTGGGGAATAACCTCTATGGCAACACTGAGTCTCTTCTCTGAAGTTCCTGAATCATCAGCACCCTGACCATACATCCTGAATCTATCCCACTGGCCACCTAACTGACCTGCTTCCATCCATTTATGTTTTCTGCCTGAGGAAGCAGTGAAGATGACAGGTTAGCACAGATCAGCTTGCCAGGTGAACAAAGAAGGGCAGGTAAGGTTGGCATGAGACACAGAGAGGCACCCTCCTTGGCACCCTTCTCAGTTGGCAAGAATTATCAGGGAGCAAGAAATAACTTAGATGATTGGTCAAGATGCAGAACAATCAATGCTCTCGGAGGAGAATCTGGACAGATGGGGAAAGTTTCTGATTTCTTCTCAATACGCTGACTGTTGAATGCATCAAAGATGCATTACTTCAAAGTAAATCGGTACAATGAGACCTCCTTTTTGTGATTACAATTTAGGGTATTAGAACACATTATTCAGAATGACAGACCGTGTTTTATTCCCTTGAAAATAATGTTTCCTAGCCTGAAGACTTAAAAGCATTAGATAAGAACTACAGGGTAGATTAAATTCAATTTTTATGAAGAGTAAATGTGGAGCCTATATCTGTCCCTATTTCTTATTAACTCAGAAGCCATATTAAGATTTAGAATAGTGTTGGGTAACCAGCTGTTAGTGTAATGGCTATGTCGCTGGACTCCCACGTAGTCGACTGCGGTTCACGTCCCGGACCTGGTGGCTTAAAACTGATGCCAGGCGCGTGTGCGTGCGTGCCCAAGATCCCAAGAGGAGAATGGAGGAGAAGGGATTGCGGCATGACCATCCCCCCTGGGGGGTGATTTCTCGTTTTCCGTCTCTATGTCTCTCTCTGTCTGTCTGACGAGCACACGCGCCCTATAGTGAAAAACCTCTCAAAAAAAAAAAGATTTAGAATAGTGTTGAAAGAGAAAATTAATATGTCTTTAATTGCCTTGGTATCTTATAGAATGAATTCTCAGTTATTTGGTGTCAAGTATGACCTTAACGTTGAAACCCACAGGGAAATTCCAAATCCCTTTTAGTTAATCATCTTACACCCCCTGAAGTCTTGGCCAGGGCCTCAAAGGGCAACATTGTCAGAAATGTGGCTTAGCACGCGCCCGCCAAACTAAGGACCAGTGCACAGGGATGAATTACAGTTCATGCAAGAAACAGACTGAATCATGTAATGCCTGCTTGGACTTGGACTGCCGTCACTGAAGGTGTGTATTAGACCTGTAATCTGGGGACAGTCCATAGAAGAGAATTCTGGTACAATCCCCATTGCTGGTTTTCAAAGTCGATCCTCTTATCACACTGCAGCTTAGTGAACTAAAAAGCATGCTTTGTGTGTGCTAGGGCAGGACATTTCTGTCTGTCATTGTCACTGTGCTCCACTGGAAAAGAGCATTACAGAGTAGAGACAAGAGATTGGCTTTGGTGCCAGCCTACCTGAGGAGGCTGCAGAAGGCTGTGCCCAGGCTCTGTGCCCCACCCCCTCTCTTACCTGTTCATGGAGCTTTCTGCAGCACTAGAAACATCAGCCAGTCCTGTGCCTTCATGAATCAGCAGACTATCAGCTTCTCCTCAAAATGTATTCTGGAATCACAAACATTAGCATCACCTGGTGCTTGCTAGAAATGCAGAATTTTAGTCCCCATCCCCAGAACTACTGAATCAGAATTTACATTCTGACAAGATCGCCCAGTGATTCTGTGTATGTTAAAATGTGTGACTCGGGAACCAGCAATTAGCGTAATCACTGTCGCTGAACTACCACGTAGTCGACCCCGGTTTGCATCCCGGACCCGGTGGCTTAAAACTCACACCAGGGGCGTGTGCGTGCGTGCCCAAGATCCCGAGAGGAGAAGGGATTGTGGTGTGACCATCCCCCCTGGGGGGTGATTTTGTGCTTTCTGTCTCTATGTCTCTGTCTGTCTGTCTGGCAAGCGCACGCACCCTATAGCGAAAACCTCTCAAAAAAAAAAAAAATGTGTGACTCACTGGTTTGTAAAAGTGAATCGAGTGTGAACAAGAGAGATTGGAAAGGAGTTTCCGAATGTCCCCACTAATACATACCGAATGTCCACACTCTATGATAGAAACTGAAGGATTGAAAGATACAAAAGCAGGGAGAGTGACTGTGGATACTAGAGACAGGGAGAAAAGGGGGAGGGTGAGAGGAAGGGAACTAAGGGGAAAAGAAAGAAGCAAAACATTTCAGGGATACAAAAATGGAAAATTATCTGTTGATGATAATGTGTATGATAATATCTTTAACTGGACAATATACAGTGCATTCATGCTAGGAAAATTCATTTTTCGGGCTTTAATGATACACAGTGACTGAAAGTATAAAAAAATAAGATTTTTTTCAAGTGTTTTATTTTTTCATATTTTTTATTTCATTTCCTTTTATATATTCAATAACATTAATTAGCTTACAAAGTGAACATTTCAACATGTGAACATTTCTCCCTAGCCCAATTGATAAAACTATAAAATTATCAAGATATAGTTTTTAATAGTGAATTACTAATTACAGTTGCAAAAACAAAAACTCAAATGGCAGACAAGAAGGAAGAGAACTATCTCATAGAGTATGCAAATAGCTTGGTGGCAAGTCCTTAAGCCAAGGAACCCAGTCAGTCTCTGACTGCTCCAGGACAGAAGGGAGACTGCAGAAGGCACATGGGGGAAGCACTTGATAGATGGAGTTTAAACCTAGGATTGATCATTTCACCCCCATCAATCAAGAAGACAATCCTTGGCATGAGGGTGACAGAGTAACAACATCATGTGAATAAGAACACTGACTTGGGACCGGCAGACTTGGGTTCAAATCCTGATTCCACTCTGTACTAGCCACGCAGACTTGGACAAGGGATGTCATGTCTTTAAGGACAAATTTTCACACTGAAGCATGGTGCTAATTGTAGCAGCTGCTTCTGAGAGCTGTCGTGAGACATGCAGGTTAGCATTCAGTGAGTCTTGGTTGCTGGTTTACCACTTATTCACCGATCCTCCCACCAACTCTGTGAACAAAACAAGGGCATACGCCTCTCCACTCTAGAGGTGAAGAAATCACGGTCCAGGGAGACAAAGACACCACCCCACCCTGCCAACCAAGGCTGCCGGGCTGATGGAAGAGTTGGGCCTCACACTCAGGCTTTGGCTTCCTTAGCTCAGTGTCCTTTACTTCTATGCCAGACAAGTTTGGTGAATGTTAACTAGAGATCTGATCTTGAGAGTAATGCTTACCAGAAAAGGGCTAGAAGGCGAGTCTAATGGGTAAGCCATCTGTCTATGACCTGGGTCATCTGCCTCAGTGTCATATGTTGGGAAAGTGTCACTTCTATTGCCAGGAAAGGATCTCTCAGACATCATGAATGAAAAAACTAGCTTGTCAAGTGACATGACCTGAAACGAGGGACCAAGAGCAAGGAAAGAAAGACTTAGAAGTGGATGCATGGACCAGTACGTGGCATAATAGTTACATTGCTGGACTCCCACATAGTTGACCATGGTCAGAGTCCCAGACCCAGTGGCTTAAAACTCTCACCAGGCTGGGACCAGCATATGGCATAATGGCTACGTCGCTGGACTCCCATGTAGTCGATTGCGGTTCAACTCCCAGACCCAGTGGCTTAAACTCACACTGGGTGCTTGTGTGTGCATGCCCAAGATCCCAAAAAGAGAATGAAGGAGAAGGGATTGTGGTGTGGCCATCCCCCTGGAGGGGTGATTTCTCGCTTTCTGTCTGTCTCTGTCTTTCTGGTGAGTGTATACGCCCTATGGCAAAAACCTCTCCAAAAAAATAACAACTCACACTGGGCAAGTGTGCATGCATGCCCAAAATCCCAGGAGGAGAATGGAGAAGGGATTTTTGGTATGGCCATCCTCCTGAGGAGTGATTTCTTGCTTCTGTCTCTCTTTCTCTCTCTGTCTCTCCAGCAAGTGCATGTGCCTGCTAGTAAAAATCTCTCTAAAGAAAAAAGAAAAAAGTGGATAGGCTGGAGCCAGCAAATGGCATGGTGGTTAAGGTGCTAGACTTCCACAAGGCTAACCACAGTTCAAGTCCTAGACCTGATGATTTGAAAATCACTTCAGGCACATGTGTGTGCATGCCCAAAATCCCAAGGGGAAAATGGAAGAGAAGGGATTGTGGTGTGGCTATCTCCCCTGGGGGTGATTCCTGACCTTGACTCTCACTGTTTCTGTCTCTCTAGAGCAACTACAGAACCATACCCTAAAAACCTTTAAAAAATAAAAAATAAAAAAGTAGATAGGTTATTCCCCCACACAAGAAGAATTATTTAATTAATTAATTATTTTAATTTTGCCTACACTAACCAGAAAGGGAGAGAGGGGGAAAGTGAGAAAGCAAGCTTCTGGGTCCAGGACTCAAACCACAGTCAGCTATGTGGGAGTCCAGTGCCTTAACTACCATGCTACCTGCTGGTCCCAAGGATGGGTTATTCTTTTTTTTTTTTTGGGAGGGAGAGATTTTTGCTATAGGGCCTATGTCCTCACCAGAGTGACAGAGATAGACAAAGAGACAGAAAGCAAGAAATCACCTCCTAGGGGGTGGCCATGCCACAATCTCTTCTCCATTCTCCTCTCAGGATTTTGGGCACACATGCACATGTACCCGGAGTGAGTTTAAGGCGTCAGGTCCGGGACTCAAACCACGGTCAACTACATGGGGGTCCAGTGATGTAACTATCATGCCATATGATGGTTCCAAGATGGGTTATTCTTAAAGTGAAACCACAGACTCAGCCCTATGCAACAAGAGGGAGAAAAAAAGAGAGGGGGAAGGATGGGGAAGAAGTTATCAAGAGAACATTCTGGGCCTCACTCTGGTAGAGCACAAATCAAGCACCATCATTTGAGAGGCTAGGGGTCACGTGAGATGCCCGGGCTGTTTCTGAGCCAACCCAAACAGAGCAGGAACAGCTGTATGCATCTGTAATCCTGGTTAATTAGGGGGCTGGGGAAGGATGATTGCTACACAGTGTCACCTCACCACCTCTCTCATATGAGGGGGATAATATCGCAGAACTTCCTCCCTGATGACATGGAACTTTAGATGTATTCTCTCATTGCATCATTGCCACAACTCTGTGATGTGGGCATTATCAACTCTATGTAATATACAGACTTGGAGAGTTAAACGACATACCCAATTATGACATGAGACAGACAGAAAATGATTCCAATTTATCAGTGGTATTTTTTCCTAACTCTTTACTTTAAAGTAGTGTTAGATGACTGAAAATTTGTTAAAAAAAAATAGTACAGAGAATTCCCTTTACCCCGTACTGTTTTCTCTACTGTTAACATCTTATCACAGCTAATGAATGAATGTGGACATTGTTGTTAACTAAAGTCCATACTTCATTCCTATTTCCTTAGTCTTTTCCTTTTTCTCTCCCAAGATTCCATCCAGAACACCAAAAGTCATTTAGTCATCATGACTCCTCATGCCTTTTTACAAGGTAGCCAGTTGGGAGAGAGCAAAAGAAAAATCTGGCAGGTCACTTAATGGCTAGAACAGGCACAGCATGACTTTCACCACATTCCACTGGACAAAGTAAATCACCAGGCTAGCTTAGAGCCAAGGAAAGGGAGCACTAGGTTATCTGCTGATGGGAGGGACTGCATGTCCACATAGGAATGGGAGGAAGAGTCAATGGTCAACCACGGAGACAATCTACTATACATATTATAAATAGAGGCCAAGGTTATATACATTTAGAAAATCTGGGCTAAACACAATAAGAAGGTTTCTTAATGGCAAGACATCTTAGAGTTGCTAAAATGCTAATTGGAGTGCCAAGAATGATAGAAGGTAAGTAGCAAGTACAAAAGGAAGTAAAGAGAGGACTATAACAATTGCCTTCTGGCCTAACTTCGGCCTTCCTGACCCTGCTACACAGATCACTATGAGAGAAGAAAAATACAGCCAGCCCAACATGAAACATTTACAGTTAAATTGGCTACCACAAACAGTGCTTGCAGTCTTTGAGAGATGTTGAATGTCTCCAGAAAGTTGACAAAGAGCAGGACCAACGAGCCTACTGGAGACAAAGCTCCAGCTAGTCCCCAGCTGTGCCAGTCATTCCAGCTGATGTAAGTGGAGCTTTATTGCATATTTTAAGTCCAATCAATTTCCTAAAAGAAGGCAACCTCCTAGGAAAACCTATGCAACACCACATGGGACAAAAAAATGACACCATTAAGAACAGGCAGCCCATAGAACCTTGTGAAATAATAAATAGTTGATATTTTAAACCACTAAGTTTGGAGGTAGCTTGTTACACATGCATAGGTAACTAACACAATATAGCATATCTCATGTTCTACTAGAGAATCATTTCAGAAAATCCCTTTGTTTTACTTTCCCAAGATTATCTACCTAGTTGGGACAGAACCTAGCTCTCCTAGCTTCCTATCCAGAGTTCTACCTACAACACACACTGCCACTGATCTGCCTGTCACACAACAGGACTTCCCAGAATGACAGTTCATGAAAAATAGTTACTTTAAGTAAACACAATCAGATTTTAAGTCACTAGGGACTCTCAGAAACTTGAAGTCATCTAGGTCAATCTAGAATCACGGTTGTACTTCAATAAACTTATCCAGTTCTACCCATTAAGAGTTCTCCCCTAGGGGCCAGCAGGTGATATGATGGTTGAGGTGCTGGACTCCCAGGAGGCCTATTGCAGTTTCAGTCCCAGGCCTCTCACTTTCTCAATCGCCCACTCACCCTCTCGCCCTCCCTCCCTCCCTTCCTCCCTCCCTCAGCAAATTAAAAAAAAAAACAAAACCCCAGCAAATTAAAAAAAAAAAAAAAAAAGAGTTCTCAGACTAGGACAGACAAAGATTTTCTGCCCAGACTTCATCCCATCCTGCGCTCAGCTCTAGCCAGGTAGAGCACCCTCTTTATTGTGTCACTCTCCATCTCTCTCTCTACTTTTTTGCTTTAATTTCTTTTTCTTGTTTTTTTCTTTTTTTATTAAGATGAAAAATCTTTTTTTTCTTTTTTTTTTGTTTTCTTTTACTTTTCCTTTCTCACTTTTATGCTCAGCCTCCACACACTGAGTTTGTAGACAGGTCTAGGTACACAGTATCCAAATATCTGAATACTTTTAGGGTCAGAGTAATCCTCAATTTCAATGGAATCTGGTGCACAAAGGGAGAAAAACAGTACTGCTTAGAGATTGCAGATCACATCCTCCAGCATGCCTCTAAATGCTATTTAACTTCCAATACGTGGGGGAAAAAACATATAATCCATCAAATAACCAGAAACCACCGCAGAGGCACAATAAATATGAGGAGAAAAGAAAATATCTCTCCCCTAAGAGAAAAGAATAATTCCTTATCTTCTACAGACAATACAAGAGAATTCGAGGAAATGTCAGATAAAGAATTTAGAATATTTACAGTGGCAAAACTAACAGAAATCCAAGAGAAGAGAGACAATGAACTCCAGAAATGCAGGAGAAAACAGACAATGAGTTCCAGGAGGTGAGGAAGTTCTTGCACGATCTGAAAGAAGAAATACACACCATAAAAAAATAATCAAACGGAGCTGTTAGAGATGAAGGCTATAATACAGGAAGTCAAAACTTCCCCTGAAAGTATTAAAAGCAGACTAGATCATACAGAAGATCAAATCTCAGATGCAGAAGATAGAATGTCTGACCTAGAAAAATCCACCACAAAGACTGAGAAAATAGCCCCCCAAAATAATAGCCCCCCCAAAATAAGAATAATACATGAATAATACTACATGTCATTAAATGCCCAAACACCTAGATAATAAGCATCCCAGAAGGTGAAGAAACTAACAAAGGCATTGATAATCTAGTCCATGAAATCCTGGAAGAAAACTTTCCAAGCCTAGACAGGCATTCAAATAACCAAACTCAAGAAACATAAAGGACCTTACTTAGAATCAACCCAAAAAGATCTTCTCCAAGGCACACCATAGCCAGAGGTAAGTTACTAAAATCGGCAAGAGAGACACATCAAGTTACTTTCAAAGGACATCCCATCAGGCTAATGTTGGACATCTCATCAAAAACAATGCAAGCAAGGATAGAATGAGAAAATATATTCAAAATGTTAAGGGGAAAATAATTTCAAGAATACTATACCTGGCAAGATTATCCTTCATATGGGGAAAAAAGACAAAAACATTCTCAGATAAACAAAACCTGAAAGAATTTACTAACACCAGAGCAGCTCTCCAAGAAGTTCTGAAGGGAGTGCTATGCCAGGAAAACTAAAGTCAGACACACAGAAATGAGAATACAAAAAGCAACCAAGAGAATGGCAACCTTAGTGGTACATACAAATCCGGAAAGATCAATAATATGATCAAATGTTAACTTCCAAAATTTAAATGGAAAAATCAGACCATAGTAACACTGCAAATTCAACAGAGGAGAGATTAATTACATGAGACTTAACTGGTGAAATAGAACTTTAGGACTTTTGAGTAAAAATTACTGATTTTCTTCTATGCTTTGTTTTCCAGATTTAAGGATTTTTGTCTTCTCTTGAACCATTCATTGGTTCATCTACTTACTGTTTGAATGGAATCCTAATCTTTTCCTAGATTTAAGTCTTAAGTAAATTTCTCCTAACATTTTTTTGATTTGTTAAGACTACAATGGTTTTTCTTGAAATTAAAAAATGCATTAAAGAAAAAAAGAGAGAGAGTTCTCCCCTATTCCTGTAATTTATGTAGAAACTTATCATAACAATTAAGAACTCATATTCGAGACCAGCAGTTGGTGTAATGAAAAAAAGAAAGAAAGAAAGGAAGGAAGGAAGAAAGGATGAACTCACATCCTAGCATCAACCTCTCAAGGTTCAAGCTTCCCATACAGGCTTAGATACATTCATCTCTCTTAGTCTCAGTTTCTTCGATATCTGCCCATTTAATCATTGGTATTTTTACTTCATGGTATTATCTTTCTTTCTTTCATTCTGTCTTTTTTTTTTTTTGGAGAGGTTTTCACTACAGGGCATGTGCACTCACCAGAAAGACAGAGACAGAGAGATAGAAAATGAGAAATCACCTCCCAGGGGGTGTGGCCACACCACAATCCCTTCTCCTCCATTCTCCTCTTGGGATCTTGGGCACGCACGCACATGCGCCCGGCGTGAGTTTAAGCCGCCAGGTCCAGGGTTTGAACCGCGGTTGACTACATGGGAGTCCAGCGACATAGCCATTATGCTAACTGCTGGTCCCTTTTTTTTTTTTTTGAGAGGTTTTTGCTATAGGGCATGTGTGCTCGTGAGAAAGACCAAGACTGACAAACAGAAAGCAAGAAATCACCCCCCCAGGGGAGATAACCACACTACAATCCCTTCTCCTCCATTCTCCTCTTGGGATCTTGGGCACGCACGCACATGCGCCCGGCGTGAGTTTAAGCCCCCGGGTCTGGAACTCAAACTGTGGTCAACTACATAGGAGTTCAGCGACACAGCCATTATTCTAATTGGTGGTCCCTCATGGTATTATCCTATCACTGGAAATTTTCTTTCATTTTTACTTAATCAAAGGCAAATTGCCAATCAGGATTTCAGATTATATCATGTTAACCATTGTGACCACTGCATGTAAAAAAAAAAAAAAAAAAAAACAAGACTGATGTCTTGGTTTATCAGAGTGAACTTCTGTAAGTAAATGATTAAAGTATGCACGGTTTGGGGAGATACTAGTAGAAAAGAGAACATTATTTTTCCCACCATCCTCCTAAATTCTTTACCAGGGGCCCTATAAATTGGATTAACAAAAGACAGATCAACAAGAAGAAAACTTACTAACTTAATTAACGTTAAGTTTCTTTGGTTTTATTTTATTATGACATGAATGCCTTGTTTGTTCTATTTTGCCAGAAGATATATGTATTCACAGGAGAGAAACAGAGTGGAAAAGAAAGAAAGCACCCCCCATGGAGAATGATCATGCCATAATCCCTTCTCCTCCATATCTCCCTCCTTTGGGGATTTTGGGCATGCATGCACATGCATCTGGCGTGTTTCATAAGCCACAACATCTGGGACTTCAACTAAATGATTAACCGTGTGTGACAGAGCTGCCTTAACAACCACATCTACAGCTAGCCCCCGAGTGGTTTTATATCAAGTTCAGTAAAGAATGAGATGTCATGGGAAAATGTGATAGGATAAAAGGGTATGAGCTCAGGGACCAGAAGATGGTGTAATGGTTACATCACTGGACTCCCATGTAGTCGACAGTGGTTCAAGTCTCAGACCCAGCAGCTTAAAACACATGCTGGGTATGTGAGCGTGCATGCTCAAAATCCTAAGAGGAGAATGGAGTAAAAGGGATTGAGGCATGGCCATCTTCCCCGTTGGGGAGAGGTGTGTGTGTGTGTGGGGGGGGGTGATTTCTCACTTTCTCTCTGTCTCTCTGATGAGTACACACATCCTATAGCAAAAAAAAAAAGGGGGGGGGTAATGAGCTCAAAGTAGTAAACTAGGGCAACTTACCAAGAAATGGTCTTTCAGATTTCTCTCAGTCCCTCTATCTTTGAAGTTACAAGTGCTCTTTCCTTCACGTACAGCACTCCAAGAGGGTCCATGACCTGCTTTGGGAGAACAGAGAGGTCAGAAAGTCTTTCCTGCAACTGCTGGTCCTCAAATTACTCAACTTAAAATATTCCATGTGCCCAGGTACCACATGTTGGGGTAGCATGTTCTAAATGTCATCACTAGAAAGGAGACTGCCAAGTGGCCAAAGCTCTGCTCCAATCAGACCAATGACTGAGGGCAGCAACCACTCTGAACAGCAATTCTTGTTTCAGCACAGGAACCATTCAATAAGAATGTTAAATACTTTCCAAAATACAAATTTTATGAAGTGTTTCAGAATAATTCTACTTACTTAGAGATAAAGACCATATACCTGAGGGGAAAAAAATGTTAGCCATGTTTGTCTCTGGAGCGGAATAATTTTGCACTTTTTTTTTTCTTTTCTATATTACCTAGAGTAGTGCTGTTTTTTAGTAAAAGTTTGAAAGTAAGGTAAACAACACCAAAGGTGAACAGTTCTCCAGTGGCCTACAGGAAATTGAAGACATCAACAAGCTCAGCTGTGCGCTAAGCTGCACCAGACTCCCCAGGCGCCATCATGGGGTCCTCCCACAGCTCCCCCTCTTGTGTCTACCCTCTTCTCTGAACAGCACCAATGCCCATGGCCCTAAATCTTTCTTATACTTCAGAGTACAAGACAATGGAGGTGGTTGAATGAACAGCCGCTACATCGAGGGCAAAGGAAGGGAAAGGAGGAAGCAGGTGGCTGCACTCATTTTAGGTAGCAATTGACAGCAAGATGTTCTGGGTCACATCTGCTTCTGTGAAGAGAAAGAACAAAGCATCTGGAGAAGCTTCCACAGATGTAAACTCAAGGGCATTGCTGTGCAAAGCTAATTTTGGCTGCTGTATTTCCATGGGAACAAGCATTGTCCTTAACTTCAAGTTTTTTGTTTTGTTTTGTTTTGTTTTGTTCTAAGAGATACAATCTGATCATCTTCAATATGCCTATGAGAGGTTGTGGGACAAACAAGGCTGGTGGCCAAGGGATTTTGGTGAACTCACCCCACTGTGGGGCCTGGGTCTCTAGTCTCAGGTTAGAACCCAATTTTGTTGGCTCACCAGATAGCTATATTTCTCTGGTGTGCACTCACACAAATAAGATAACAAGAATACAAACTCACTGATTGAAAATTAGAGTGATGTGGTCAATCCATGGTGTGGTGGTTAAGGCAGCTGGATCCCACATGGCCAACTGGGGAGTTCAAGTCCTGGACATGCTGGGTATGTGTGCGTGCACGCCCAAAATCCCACAGGAAGGAAAAGTGGAGGAGAAGGGATTATGGCATAACAATGCCCCATGGGGTTGGGAGGTACTTTCTTGCTTTCTCTCTCTCTTCCCCTCCCTGCCCCCTGACTCTATCTCTTTCTGGTGAGTGCATGTGCCCTCTGGCAAAATTTTTCTAATAAAGTAAATTAAAATTATGTGAAATACATAGTTACCATAAGACCCAGCAGCTTCACTGGGGGGTTGGGTGAATGTATATACACCTAAAAGAATTAAAAACATGTCCACATAAAACTTGAATACGAGTGTTCAAAGTAGCATTATTCACAAGAGTCACAAAGTGGAAACAGGGCCAGGGGAAATAGAACTGGAGCCCACATGGCCAAGGAGGTTTGATTCCTAGCTTCAGGAGCTTGAAAAACGCATGTGTGGGGGCCAGCAGATGACTTAATGATTATGTCACTGGACTCCCACATAGTGAACCTCAGTTCAAGTCCTGGACCCAGAGGTTTAAACTCACTCCAGGTATATGTGCATGCATGCCCAAAATCCCAAGAGGAGAATAGAGAAAGGATTGTGGCATTGCCATCCGCTCAGGGCCATCCCCTCTCACTTTCTCTTTCTCTCTCTTGGGATTTTGGGCATGCATACACACACACGCCCAGTGAGATTTTTAAGCTGCTGGGTCCGGGACTCATACAATGGTTGGCCACGTGGAAGTCCAGTGTGTGTGTGTCCAAAATCCCAACAGGATGGAGAAGTAGAGGAGAACAGACTGCAGTGTGACCATACCCCTTGGGAGCCGCTTTCTCCTTCCCTCTCTCTCTCTGTCCATCTCTCTGGTGAGTGCATGTGCTTTGTATCAATTTTTTAAAAATGTAAATAATTCAAATGTCCATCTGCTGATGAATGAGTATACAAAATGTGGCAGATCCATACAGTGGAATATTATTAGGTCATAAAAGGAAGGAAATACTGATACACACTATGACATGGCTCACACTTGAAAACTTTAGGCCAAGTAAAAGAAGACAGACACAAAAATCACATATGATACTATAATGTACAGAGACTATGAAAAGATACAGAAATAGATTAGTAATTGTCAGGAGTTGAGAGGGGGGGGTTTCTTTTGAGGATGAGGGAAATGTCCTGGAATTGGTATCAGGTACATGACCTGGGCAATAAACTAGCAAACTGTACACTTTAAAAAGGTGTGACCTTTATTATGTAAAATTTTTATGATGTGAATTTTATCTCTTTTCTTTTAAAAAAATTAAAGTAACGGCTGCTTAGAGGCAAGATCATTTGATCAGTTCACCCTCCAGACCCCCAGAAGAGCACTGAATCATAAATGGAACATCTGACATGCATGGACTCCGAGCAATGTGATATTTGCACTACCTTGGTGCTCTCTGCTAACTGATCTGATTCCTTAGTGTGGCCCTGCCCACCACACAGATACAACTACTTGGTGGGCACAAGTGCCCATTGCTCCCACCTAGCCACCTGAGTAGGTACTGGCTTGGACGAAAAAACCAGTTCCAGACCTTCTCTGCCTCTGTTTGGTAAGGAGTCTAATACATTGCAGCCTGGGATGTAATTGTTCCAGAACTGAGCGTGACATAATCTGTAGATTCTGTTATTCTTCCCTGTATCTGGGAAAGGGTGGAGTGGACAGAACAAATATAAGTAAGAGAGCAAAATAAGTCAATCCTGGACTGGGCAGTGGGAAATCTGATGGCCAATCTGAGGTCTGAAGTCTCCCTTCAGTCTAGTCAGCCTTCTTTGGATACCTGTGACATCAAGAACCATTCCAAATTCTTCAAATCTCAAAATGAACAGCCAACCCTTCTACATGAGCATCTGGTGGAGTTAACAGTGGCCCTCTGGAGGCACAGGGCAGGGAAAACTACCATGATGTTGCCTTGCACACTGGGCACAGTTAGCCCCAGTAAACTATTTATCCGCTGACCTTGAGCTAGTTGTTAAAGAATGATGGATAGAAAGGGATTCACTGAAGTGGCTCCCAAAGCAGTTTTCTTCCCTGAGTAATGGATCTGTCCTTCAACACAGCTGTGCTTTCAAACATAGGTCTCTAACCCAAGCAGAAGCATCAGCAGCAATAAATAAAGAGCTCAAGCCAAAGTTAGGTATGATGTGCCCCATTAGAACATCTGTTCTTTCTCACTTTGTGAAACTTATATTCATTTTTATTTCCTTTTTAAAACTTTAATAATTATGGAACTGGTGTCTGTTAATTTAGATGTCTCTATTAAAAAGGACTTTCACATTATTTTGGTTTGTATCATCCCCACTTAACTCCTGTTTTCTACCCTCTGCCTGCCCCCAATCTTGCTCCATTGTTGCATCTCCTTGATCTCATCTGTGCCTCTTCTTACAAGGATGTTTATGGGAGTAAGAATTTATCTGGTCTTTTTTTTTTCTTTTTTTTTTTTAAGGTTTTTGTCTTAAGGTGCAAGCGCTCACAAAAGAGACAAAATGAAAAATTACCCCCCGGGGGGATGGCTACACTGCAATTCCCTCTCCTCCATTCTCCTTCCAAGATTGTAGGAACACATGCACATGCACCCTGTGTGAGTTTTAAGTCACCAGGACCAGGACACAAATCACCGTCAGCCATGTGGGAGTACAACGATGTAACCATTATGCCATCTGCTGATCCCTCTATGTGGTCTTTCAAGGCCTTAAGCCTTTCATTTTATTTCTCACTGATAAAGAAAATAGATTTTGCCGCCACTTGTCTTTAAACTCTCAGGTGTGTTAACTGGGACTTTAAAAAAACGTTCCCCACTCCCAGCACCATTGGGACATCTGTTCCAATGACTGGCTGTGGCATGTGGTGAGTTGTTAGTGGCTAGAAGGCTATGCTGCAGAGACCCATGGCTCATCTCCTCCCTCACTCACCTTTGAACTCTCAGGTGTGTTAATTAGGACTTTAAGAAGACTTTGCCGCCCTTCCCCTGCCATCAGGACATCCGTTCCAGCGAAGCTGCACTGAGCAGCAAGAAGAATGAGGTGCAGAAAGACTAGGGCTTATCTCCTGCTACTTGCTTCCAAATTCTAAGACCAACATTTTCTGATCCTCATGTGATCCCTTCTGTCTTCATCAGTTAAAGCTCAGCAGCTCAGTCCCAGGCATACCAGTTTTCTAGAAACTGGAAGGACTTTGAATCATCCAAGTCCAGTAACAACAGTGCAGATTGCTAGTGAGCAATCAGGGAGGTATAACAGCAGAGAGATAGCCAAAAACCTACTCCCGCATCCCTTTGAATGCCCAGAATTAACTCAGAATTTAGGAAGAAACGTATAAATCACCAGATGACAAGAAACTATCTCAGAAGCATAAGAAGTATGAGCAACCAAGAAAATACCTCTTTATCCACAGACAACACAATGGAACTCATGGAAATGTCAGATAAACAGATAACTCAGTGGAACTCGTGGAAATGTCAGATAAACAATTCAGAATATTTGTAGTGAAAAAACTAAATGGAATGTAAGAGAAAAGAGATAGTGAGCTGCAGGAGATGAGGAAGTCCTTTCATAATTTGAAAAAAGAAACAGACACCATAAAAAAGAATCAAACGGAATTGTTAGGGATGAAGACTGTAATAGAGGAAATTAAAACTTCTCTTGAAAGTATTAAAAGCAGGATCACACAGATCTAATCCTGGATGTAAAAGGCAAAACCTCTGACCTAGAAAAAATTATCAAAAAGATTGAGAAAATAACCAAGAAAAATTA